CTCCAACCAGGGTTTCGAGAGGCCCCAACCGAGGCAAACTTCTAAGTAAGGACCTTCATTGCTCTCGACCTAATCATCACCTAGCCACTCCTTCTCTACTTTCATCCACACGTCGGCGTGCAAATAACGCACGTCGTGGGAGTCAGTGGGTTGGTGTGCGCCAGCCGCAACCCTTTCCAAATTCGAGGAACCGAACTACGTGAACCTCAACATGCTCTTTGCACATACACGATCGCGTCATCGACTGTCTCCGCAAAAAACAGGTAAGCGAAAATAGTGAACGTAACGCATAAGAGGTAGATCCGCTAACCACTGAGGTATCAGCTTCTTCTGCATTACGTTCACTATGTTCGCCTCCCTGATTTTGCGCAGACTCAGTCGAGTACGTGAGCAGCGCATGTTGGGCTCCACCTAAGTCGGTCCCACGAATCTGGAAATGGCTGGTGAGAGTCCGTCTGCTACTGCGCATAAGGGCGGATGCAATGGGTCGGTCCAGCTAATAGGGCTATCAGTGGCTGATAAAGAAGACAACAACTCTGGCTGATAAAACTGCTTTTCATAGTGTACGGTCTAACGCTCCAAGCGTTGTGACAGGTTGTGGCTAGGCTGTCCACCCTCGTCGCATATCGTTTCGCTAACACCAGTTCTCCTGCTGCCCTTTTACCATATCCGACGGGATAACCAAGGGTAGCGGCTGTCTCCATCTCCGATGCGCGATGAGACCACCAGGCTTCCCGGTCTCTCATTAGGCTAGCACGCAGTTTTGCCCTGAGTGCTTTGCGAATCTCATTCTGTTCGCCTCCAGCCGAAACGCGTCGTCGAGCCTCCGTAACGTTTATAGACATCGTAGAGACTCACTACCTAAGTTGGCAGTTTGATTTGCCACATGAAAACATGCTTACTGCCAATGCAGTCTGGTGGATATGCAATCAGTTATCTTCAACCGTGTTCAATGAGTGTTGACTTAATCCCTATGCCATTCAAGATATCTGCCTTCACCGGTTGGCAAGTATCTATACACTCATAATGTCTTTGCGAACATCCGTCAAAACGCACCCACAGGTCAGCATAGTTCGTAATCGGAATCCATGCACATGCTCTAAATCGAGCAACAGTTTTGCACACAGCTTCTGCAGTGGATACTGACTGCGATGTGATAATTTTGCTTCCGTGGCTCGTTTGAGGGTGGTGGGCGTCGTGTCACTGTTCTGTGGGTGCTCTGTCGGAAGTTAGTGCTCTCGTGGAATATTTGCGTATCTTCACACAGATGTAGTAACCGCTCACCGTTATCATTACGGAAACCTACACCTTGTTACCCACTCAGACGCAGTTCATCAGTGGACGGTTCTATAGATTGATCATCAACCCACCTCGCAGTATCCGTACTAGATCTGTAACGAATGAGTGCGTTCAGTTGGTGATATAAGCCATCTTCCACCGAGTTAGGGTTACAATTTATGGGGGCGTAGACAACAATGACAACCAGGCACCGTTAGTCCCCGCGCGACTTCGAAGCTCCGAACAAGCCAGCCAGCGTAACGGCGCACACATAGCGGTTGACTGGAATCCTATCGATCAGAGCAGCTTCAGCCCGGGGGCTCAAAGTAATGCCCACACCGGCTTCACCGTCATTTGAATCTGCGTCCTCTGCTGACAAACGCTCTGAGAAAGTGCGTCAGTGTCGCATGCGGGGGATCGCAACGCTAGCACAAACCTCAAATTTCGCAAGCGGGTTTCCGATAAACAACAGATATCGATCGCTAAGTTCTCTAGTGTCCGTTGATCAATCTGCAATATGGTGCACACTTTGAGGCATGCCAGTCTGTTGCCTATGCAGTTCTCCAAGAAATACTCAGGAGCCAAGTTGTTAACTTTATGAGACCATTGCCCTAATCAACCAATCACAGTTAAGCTTTATTTCAAGCTGCTCCTACGTTACTTGCCAGCTGCTGTTCTTTCACCATGTGAGAACCATGACTGAAAGAAGAATGGCTGTAAGCGTAATTAAGTGACTTGGGAAATACGAGGTTAACGTCAGATCCGCATTCATTCTACCCTGACGAAGTATTGTCAATAGTACCCATCCCTTAGACTGACCACTTCTATGAAACTGGGTTCACAGTGCCGATACTTGTTTTTCATGGTTATGCCTAAGGAATACAGGGAGGATGTGCACGAGGTGGTGATGTGAGAATAGGCTACGCGATTTCAGATTTTTATCGTGTTCATCGGCGTACAGACTCCGGCGTGGGGTGAGTGCTTCTAAGCAATAACATACCGGTCACATAAAGGAGAAAGAAAGGTGGTCCCACGATTTTTCAATAAGAATACGGACCGTGAAAGCGTGGCTTCTCGTCCTTTTGAATTTAATATTCGGAGTTTACAGCAATATGCGTTAGAAAAGTTACCACAGGGATAACTGTCTTGTGGTGCACAGTATACGTAAGAACCCGCATGCGTGTGCTGTGGTCCCACGCTTTGTCATCCAGTTTTACGAGCCAATGATCTTCGAGCTTGGTGGAATACGTGAGCCACAGTATCCGCGAGGATTAGATAGTACCTAGAAATGAATCTTCTCAGTTCCATGCTAATGGAATATTGCCTCATCAGTGAATATGTTGGAATGGACGCTCACGTGCGGCAGTGGAGACAATTTTCGGTCCCGTCACGGTCACTCTGAAACAAATTGAACAGCGTAACCCCACTTGTTTTCAGCAACTGTGATCAAGACTGTGACGGGAGAATAGGCTATGTGGCAGTGAGTAGTCTTTTTGCGTCTTAGGTTTTCAAGACTCTTTTCTTGAAACGTCACATTTCATATGTGCAAGCCCTAATTGAAAGGAATGTCTCTTTTGCTAACATAGGTTGTTGGAAGCTAACTTTCAGTCTACAAGAACGTTGCAAATAACCCATTTGTCATTAGCTGGGACAAACATAAGCACCCATTGAACACTCCTTGTTCAGACCAGTTAGGCCTGTCCAGGCGCAATCACAATTATACCGCAGTAGCCCGGTACTGATGCACTGCTGTCTTGATTTTGCACGCCTGTCTTCGTTCCAACCAGCCCGAAACACGATATCGATCGGTGAACTTGCCCTATGGCGTGCCGTAGGTTGACTTTAACTCAACGATCCGCGCCCATCCATCGTTTTCACGATGGACGAGACTGGCAACTACATCTGTTCTCATATGCAGGCATATGGCTATCACTCCGGTCGTTCACACCCATGTGGCCCGGTGAGGGACATTTTGAGAGAGGCCAACATCTACTATTGGGCAGTCGGCAATATAGCGCGTTCTAATCTCACCCGAAGGCGTGACTCTTGGTCCCCGAGTAACAGAATAAAAAGGGACAAGACCTCTGGCACTAACTGTAGAGCCAGAGTAACCATTATCAACCTCTGATATCTCTGGCGCCGGTGTGATCTCAACCTCACACTAAAAGGCTTAGTGTCAATTCTACGGTATGAACAGTTTTTCTTCATGGCCGCGAGATCTGGCACATCCGAGCCAGCGTTTACTATAGACTCTGTATTTGATCACCACTGTCCCTGGAGCATCTCATTCTTAAAGATGACGTCTCCAAGTCAGACGGGCTTTGCCGACCTCTCAGTAGCATAATTTCCTTGAGTACGCTCTGGTGGCTGGGCCAGGTGCTTCGCGTGCCTGATCAACGGTGGCGCTGCTGCACTTTGTTAGCATGCGCCGGCGATGAAGGGGTGCGACAGCAAGGTGGTCAACTCACGACATGGTTGTCAAGGTGCTGCGTTGTGGTTGACCATAATGGGGCGTTTCAGATCCCAGGTTTGGGGTCCAAGAACAGTGAACACACCTAATTGGTAACGCTATCGCAACGTTTTGCGATACTCTGCTCCCCCGGCTGCCACTTCCTTTGCTTTATGTTCTTATCCTTGTGTTGTGGCACTACCAATTGTATGCTGGTTAAGGATTTGATATATGGTTGGCGGCATTCGGTTTCGAATTTACCTGTCACTGTGGCCTCCATAGACAAGCGACAGGACGCCTGCGCCTACAAATGGACTATGGGTGGCTTGTGCTGCACCACCCACAGCTCCATCCACACACCCCATATCCAGTGTACACTCGAATGAATAAGACCGGGAGGCATGTGGATGGGAGTCAAGTTTCATCAACGGAGCCGACCCACACTCTTTCAGCATACACAGCGGCAGCATTCCTGTCTGTCTGTTCAGGGAATCATGCCTACTAGACATACACCAGGCGATGGTTGGGCCGTAATCCGCTTCACACTGGTTGGAACCACTCTTTGGGTCTAGTACGGCCTTGAGGACCATACACCCAGTCCCTCCCAGCAACGACTCTTAGTCTCCTGGAGCCCGTTAAACAAGGTGGATGGTTTTGGACAGGTAAGCACCGTCTTAACATGGATATCAAGCGCATTCCAACCAGAGATATCAGCCGGCCAACATAGAATTTGTAGGAAAGTAAACACACGAAATTGACACATAAAATTCAGCAGTAACAGAATTGAACAATCCAAATAAAGTGGAATTTTCGTTAGATTAGTTAAACCCGTGAATCCTTCGTGTTGCTTGTATGCCAAACTGAGATGACTGCAGCAATTGGCAGGTGTATCGAGGATGATCATTCATACTGACCTGGGCATCTCATCACTGTGTGTATACTGAGAGTGGAAAGGAGCATACATACGTAAGTCCCTTGGTGGCGATAGTCGATTGTATGATTTGCACGGTCCACTCTAACTCCGACTGCTGATATTACTCAGTCTGGTATACTAAAAACGGCCATTCGCGCCTTAGATAGCCTAAATCTGTCCACTTTTTTCCGCGCAGCTGTTGTCTTTGACGATTTCCAGCGGTACATCACCAACTTTTCGAGTGTCACCATTACTCTGTTCCTAATGACCTGAATATTGTTTAAGTCGATTTCGTACAGTGTGTCTAGCCCGTGTGTCTAGCCATTGTCAGTCCCACCATTACTTTGTCACTTTTTGCAGGAACCGAGAATCCTGCAGATGCGGAGGATCGCATTGCAGCAGCGATTGATCCTAAAAGTGGTGGTAGTTATGTGGTTACACAAAAGTGGGTTCATAATCATCCCGTGCTCCGATCAACTAAAGGTGAGTATTACATTCAGAATGCATAAGAATTTCCCTAGTATTGAATGACACTCATTTGTATTCATGGGTCGACTTTTTGGTAGCTCCTGCGACACCGTTTCACGCTTGCTGGGCCCGATTAATTTGCTCGTTTCACAGCCACGCTTCTTTTAAATAAGGGCACAAGTTTGGAAATATTCCTCATCTTCGCACCAGTTCCTGATCAATCAAAGACTATAATTGAAGAATGCAACTTTGGCTGCATATACACTCATGCGTTGCGTAGGTGACTAACCTACGCACATGGCACACTACAATGGTTTATTTGCATGTCTGAGGGCACAGTGCCCGCACAACTTGATTCGACTGTCAATCCATGTATACCTATATTCTTCGTTTCATCGAAGAGTGAAGTAACCAGCTTATCACTGCAATCAACATTTTGGAAAACACGTGGAACCGATCAAGAACTCGTGGTTTCAGAAAAGTTTGCAAACAATAGGTTGGTATAGTTTGTGGGCAACGTTTCGCTTTTGACACAAAAGCTTTCTCAGGCCGAGTGAACCAGTCGAGGATTGGTATAGCACTTATAGCCAACTGGGATGATAACCGCGACGAATAGGATGTAGGCAGAAGGTCAATCGCGTTACAAGTTAACACATCACTCCAACTAGTGCATGGAACGGTCACAAGTGATCCGCCTTACAAGGTCATCCACATAAGTCCTGTTAACGATGGGTGCGGGGATGATGTGATGTTCATTCTCTCCCTGGATCCGTCCGCCGGCGCTCCTCAGATTGGTCGGGTTAATACAGCTCGCCATACGCTCGAAAGCTCCGCCCCGTCCATTCTGTTCAAGCAACTGTTCACTTTGCTAATCTCAGCCGCCTCAGCAGTCAACCTCTGGGGAGTTGATCGCGACTCCTTTCTAACGACTCTAACGTTATCCAAGTCGATCTCATTCCCTATATCTATCGCATGCATCTCTGCTGCCGAGCTTCTTAGTAGAGCCATATATTCATGCTCTTTTCGCGGTGGCCGTGTTATGCGTCTCTTGTGTTCTGCTATCCTTGTACGTAGCTCTCTCGCGGTTTGACCGATGTACACGTGTGCGCAGTCTTTGCAACTAAATTTGTAAACGCACTTGGTTGTTCTATTTGCGGGAAGTGGGTCTTTCAAGTGCACTAGTGTAGAGCGGAGCGTTTGGCCTTTCTGGAAAATTACCCTTAAGTTTTCTTTATTTAAAACCGGATGGCCTCCGAAGTCACATCTTTATAAGGAATACCTACCATCCCAATCCACTCCGTAATACACCGTGGGTCCGCATTTAAAATTCGCTACAACTGGCTTTTCACTAAGCGCCTCGGGTATCCACTACCAAGCAATTGGTTCATTGCTTCTTTCCGGGCGGCGTTCCTATCTTCTTCCTATGTGTACAGCGTCTGGGCTCTGTGAGTCAGAGATGAGACGATTTCAGTATATACATGCTTTGGGTGACCCGAACTATAGTGGAGTACACCATCTGTGTCCATCGGCTTACGATATATCGTTTTTAGACTACCCCATTTATGTGAACTAAGTAATCAAGGAATGGCAATGTCCCACTGCCAGATTCCAATTCTGTAGTGAAATTTACAGTCTCCGCAAGAGTGTTCAAGCGGTTTAGAAACTCGTCTTTCTTATCCCGTTTTATGATAAAAATGGTGTCATCCACGTAGCATCACCAAATTTTCGGCGAGCTACAAGAGTCAGTCAGCGCCCTCGTTTCAAACTCTTCCATGTATAGATTTGCAAATACAGGGAATATTGGTGATCCCATGGCAACTCCCTGAGTGTATAATCTAGATTGGGGCGTGAAATAAGGCATGTTAAGACACAATTTCATTCCTTCGGTTATTTGATCTGCCGTAAGCTTCGTCCTCTCCAGGATTACTGTCCCCAGTTAGACGGTGTTTCGCTTTCTCTAAAGGGTCGCATATGGTCACGTTGGTAAAAAGCACGCTAACCTCGAAACTGACCATAGTTTTATCCGACTCAACCTCAAGACCCGATACCTTTCTCGAAAAGTCATAAGAGTTATTTACGAACGTATTCGTTTACCCTGTCAATTGTTGCAATATGCTAGTCAAATATACTGCTAGTTCATGCGTCGGATAACCTATGCCATCTACGGTAAGCCATACACTCTTGGTGGAAGAGATGATTTCGGGTATGTGTTTTACCATTTTCCCGGTCCTAGATGCTCCTTTACGTTCCTTAAGTAATTACTAATCTCTGTCTTATTCGTCACTGACATGACGGACATATTCTCGATAACCTTATATGGTCCCGTCACTAGGTGCTCCTCCAATTTTCCCAAATAATCTGACTTGCTCATTATTACAGTGGTTTTTGCCTTTATCGCTTTTCGTGATAACAATGTTCGGATCGTATTTTAGGGCAGTTAATGCTACACGTTTCTCTAGCGCAAGATTCGTCTCCCTCGGCTACTGAAATTTTATAATGTTTACAAGCTATACACGAATATCTTCAGCCGTTGAAGCGAGTAACTTCGTTAACACAGTCTCCAAACTAGAAATAACTTCTTCAGTTCTTACCTTGGATTTATTGATAGTACATGTCAGACCCTTCTCCAGAGATGGGGCGATTCAAACACACACATGCTTTCGGAGTACACCATCTTTGTCCGCCGGCTTACGATATATCGTTGTTTTTAGACCACCCCATTCCTGTGATCTAAGCAGTCAAGGAATGGCAATGTTTCACTGCCTGATTCCAATTCCATAGTGAAATTTACAGTCCCCGCAAGAGTGTTCAGACGGTGTAGAAACTCGTCTTTCTTATCCCGTTTTATGATAACAAAGGTGTCATCCAGGTAGCTTATCACTGCGGTTTGTGCACCAATCTGTGGCTGATCCATTCATCTCAGGCCACTTCACCTTACTACTGTTGTTGCTGCTGCTAACGCTACTATAATTGAGACAACATCGGATAAAAACAAACATAAATGGTTGCCTTGCAACTACACTCTTCACAGGAAAGCGTCAGAACTCAAAGTCAAGCGGTCGAACGCTAAGGTTTCTTTAACCCTGTTGCTTCACTATTTCCGATTGGAATTCCTCCCGTTGATGGGGTTGATCCGGTTAGACATTGCACTCTGGAGTATCCGGTCGGCAGCCAATGAAATTTTTTTTCAAGCACCGGTGCCTCAAATTCGGCAGCCGATCCGATGAGGTACCTAAGAGTTTAGTGCCAACAACCACCTGGTAAACCTTAGAATTCCACATTCGATGCTCCAACCAGATTAGAAGCACATTTTACAGGCACTGGGGGTAGCAAAGAAGCAGACAGTTGGTGTCCTCAACCGGCATTTACCAAGTACTAGACGCATACAGGATCACTATTATTGCACCTTCAATCTCACTGCAGTGTAAACGACAAGCTCCACGACAATCTGCGGTATTCGGAATGGCTCACATCCTGTCCCACATACAGCAATTCTTCTTAGCTTCCTAACTTTGCCCATTATTGTTTTTCTGGTTGTCTTTCAATTCACGCAATGTAAAAGTGCATCCCTATTTCTCTCTCCTAAGCTATGGCATCCACTCAAGTTCTTGATCACTGTTTTCAACAGATTCGGTGAAGGAACAGTGGATTGGTCGGGACATCAACGACAGCACGGAACTTCGAAAGAAAACTATCACCGCTCACGTCTCCCGTATGGTTGGCTGTGAGTTGCGCTTACTGTAGCTCAGTCATGAGTTATGACAGACATTTGCACTCTGTTACAACTTTTAGTAAGATAATACAGATTAACACCATTGCTACTGCGTCCGTCTGGAGTTTGGTTCTTGTTGCGTGGTACTTGGCGATTGCCCACTTCGCTCAATGCATGACGCATCGGGTCCGTCTTGTTGTAGGCTCATGGAATTCGCACTCCGGTTCCTGCAGTGACCTGCTTTATCTGTTCCAGCCTTGAACGTCTGTGCGCATACTTATCAAGCAGCCGTTTTTATTATTACCCTTTTTTCGCCTCGATATTTTCCTCTACTGGCTCTCTAAATGTCTCCTTTATTATTATCCGCATACTTTTCCTGTTCTATTGGAGATTCGGTATTTCAGTTTATATCCTCGGAACTCATGAGTATGCCCACTTCAAAATGCGTTTATGCTATCACCCTTTTGCTGCCGGTCAAAGGTGACATTCGATAGCGCAAGGGGTGCTTTACGTTCGGAACTTGAGGACTATGAGGTTGCCAGACACTACACCGTTATCGCGGTTTAGTGAATGAGATTAATGATTGCCAATCTACTAGGGCCACTAATCCCGTACATCAAATGCCACAATACTTCAGAGCGAGTAACTCGATCCTTCTAGGGAATTGTTTTGTACTGTGTCATCAGTGGTGAGCTCAATTCACTAGGGTTCTATGATGCGTCGATTTTCTTTCGTAGTGTTGCAATGCTTATCTTTTCCTTAACTTGTCTCTCGTACCTCTCACAAATTCACCTGCTAACATTTTCAGCTATTACTCCAGAGCAGAAACCGAACTGCTCCTAAACAGTTAAATTTGTGTCCTTTTTACCAGAGCTTCGTTCGATCTTTTCCTCACCCATGCAGTAATTCAGCCAATGCCACTTGTTTACTCACAGCTATCTTATATTCTCTAGCACCGGACTTTGACGCTAGCCCCAAGTTTAAAATCGTACGGCACTCTCAGCCCTGGGGTACGGTGTCTGGAGAATCTGGCTTATTTTTCATCGCCTATTCGGCGACCCCCACCGCCTTGGATTGGATGCTCGATCGAATGACGGCTCTTTCTGATGATAAACAAGCAGACGATGTCATGCGTTTCACAAGATGTGTGACTGGAAATTACTGGTACTTCCCAAGTCAAGCGGAATTTGATCGAATGACCAAAAACGCCTCCTCAGGCGGATTTTCTCGCTACTGGCGCTAGGCTCTTACTCGCTCACTTGGTGGCTACTTTGGTTTACCTGATCGACTGTGATATTTCGCCAGTTTTACCTGTTTGCTTTATGACTTCATGGTGTTGATCTCTTTCGCTCGCGTTGTCAATTTCATTGCATGTCACGTTTACTCGATACGCGCCACTTCCTTTCTTCAGTAACTCCATGTTACTTTTTCGTGCTTCAACATTTTGATAAATCTTTTCGACAGCCTTCTTTTCTCCTTCGTTTCCCATGACGGTACAGCGATCGGTATTTTTCCAGTGTTTGACGGACTTCATGCGACTGTCAAAAGCGTTTTCTGCGCTAACTCAGTTTCAGATGTGTACTTAATGGTATCCACTCCACTATAACCATGAATGAGTTTTCAACTACCTGTATCGTTTGGTTGCACCCTAAAGCAACCCAACTCACATCCACCAATGGTTCATTTTGAACAACAACTACCTGTACTGAGAATTACACATCTTTCGGCAATCACATTCACTTCAAATCCAACCATGAGGCACTTAGTCGAAGACTAACGTTTAGATCTGGGGAACAGTGAGTACCTTCATTTTTTGACGTTGGGGAATGGTGCGTTTTGCTTCATGCCTTCCCACCGGCTTCTTCATGTCGGGTTTCCTCTTACCATTCCAAGCGTAGCACACGCCTCCGGATTCTCTCATCACTTACATTTAAAGAGCGGTGATGAATGGCTTGCGCTACACCACCAACAGCTCCACATGCACTCTGTGCAAAATTAAAGCAGGGTCAGGATGGTTTTTAAACTGACTCGTCATTCCGCAGCAGGCAAACGACCCATACCTAGACGAATCATCCCTTGGATGTCAATAACTCCGAAATACTGTAAGCACCAAAACGCTTGGGTAGTTAAGCAGCGCGCAGATGGTCGGAAATCCGAAATTCGGATGTCGCAACCGATCTACGCTCTTGTTTAGCACAAACAGAAACACCGAATGCATGAACAATCCGTCGGTCAAACAGTGGCTCGCCGCGTAACGAAACCCATCGATTTGGATACCAACGGATGAGACAGTATAGAAATACAAAATGAGTGCAAGTACACAGACCATACAGAAAGGTTTGGCAACGGGTCAATCAAACCTGGTCACTTAAAAATGAAAGACTGGTAAAGCTCGAGTGGAGGGCACAGGGTACAAGGGGAATAACCACGAGATGCAATGTTAATACTAGCTGTTTTGGAGTGGGATTCGAAACAGGGCATTGTACGCAAGGAACCAATGGGAGCGGAATGGACAGAAGTGGGAGGGGGCAGCCTCAAGAAACAGGGCGGTGGGAGTTGGCGCCTTAAGAGGCACTTGCCAATAAAGTCTTAATTAAAACATGCGATTTCGATTCAGGTAGGCAGAGAGATTGCATCACGATCAATCCATCAAAATGTCCATGAGGCAATACTCCTTGTTTGTAAGCATCTGATATATCCGTAGGGTGGAGTATTGCCGGGGCTGTTTCCCGAACTGGGGCCAAACTTTATGCATGGTGCTATGACGAAAATCGGGCGCCCCTCCGTATCCAATTAAGGTTAGTCGTTTCCTGAAGGCTGTGGGTGAAAATAAACGTAACATTCGAGACGACTTACAGAGGTGCATGTATCAGCCGACCTTAGGTATGCTACACATCTAAGCCTTTATAAAGGCAACTTCACGCGTAGTGCTAATAATTTGGTTTGTTAAAATTCAAAATAACGTGTTCCTTCAAGTTCACGCGCGCGTCAATTCATTCTCTCCCTGAGGGTTGACATGCACGCACTATCAATGACGCTTTCATTGGTCATGGAACATTAGCCGATAGAACTCTCTGGATGTAAACACCCTGCTACACATATGCGTCCATAGGGGACAGGTATGCTCCCGAGTAGGCTGACACATTACTGTTAACGGAAAGCAGACAGGGAGGAGAGTGTCAGTGCTTGAGGTCACCAACCGTACGCCTGACTGTAGCTGGTCAACCTAGGATGCCGTGTTCGAACCTACTCTCTCAGCACCCCTTTACCAGATCTTTTGTCGGGAAGCGTTACCATCGGTTCCGATTCTGACTCGGCCGGTAGCCGGTGTCCCTGTGCCAAATATCCAGCGCTTGTCCGAGCAGTCCGTAACGTATCGAGTGCACAATATGTGATCGGTCCAAGGTGCACAGTACCAGTGGCACATTTAGGATCCATGTTAGTACTGCCAACGTTCAAAACAATATACCGCGTAAAGATGAGGATAATATTAAAGAAGCTAATACTAACAAAAGTGGGTATCCTTCTCATCAAGTGAAAAGCTGTGACAGTATTTGGCACAGAACATACGCTCACAGGTGATGCCATGCTGTTGCAAGGGCTATAGTAAGTTATCTTTTTGTCTGCATTTCTGACAAGGCATTTGCCCCATATGTTTGTCTCATGCGATCGTAGGAGGCAAATTTGCAGTTTGAGTATGTTGTAGACACTGAGGACTAAGTACCTTGCGTGTATTGGTGGTATTACACCCATTAGACCTTATCTGGGCTTCCATTGAATGGATGTTCAAATGATCCTCCCAACGAAAGAATGGTGTCCAGGTAGAAGTAGCTTCGAAACTTACCGCGAAAGGATTGCACAGTCTCACACGACCTGATGGTGAATGGCAGCTGCTTCCACAGAGAAGCGTATATGGTGGGACGAAAGGTAAACAGCATCGTGGTGTTATCAGGGTAAGATCTTTGTTACCTAGGTCTCGCGTGTAATTATACTTCAATGTTAAGGTGCATCAACTGCAATGGGTATTGTCATGAATCAGATTTTGCAGCAGCATCCAGTATTCTTTTAGTCTTCACAGCCAAAGCGCATCGAGACAGAGTTGCTGGCATCGCTCCTGAGAGTTTATGGTAGCATATTTTCTCAACACGTGCTTAGTCAATGACCGTTGAACGCATTCTATCGATGTCCTGTCTGATTTCTTAATGTTGCCTCAGATTTTGCTGCGATACTCCAGGATGGGACGATTAAGGATTTTAAAGAATTCAACTGTAGCTGTGATTGTATGCATACTATGAGAGGTGTCAGCGAAGGTTTGTCTGGCACGTGCTATCTGGCACTCAATCTGTTCTAAGAACATGAAGGTATAAGAATATCTGATTCCAAGGTCACGGGTAGACCGTTGTACACAGATGCGTTCGCTGTTACTTGTGGTAGATACTTCGGGTGTCAAACGACTGCGACGTATGAGACTTGACTGTTGTGCTTAAAACGTCACCATCCACTTGTCGCACCAAGTCTTAAACGAATGAATGTATTCTTGAATGCGTGGTGGTACATTCGGAAACTCAACTCGTCGGTACTTGTGGACAAAAGTTATATCATCACTAAATAAATGCGGCACGCTATGTTTGTTAACCGAACTGCTATCGTTGATACAAGGCAGGGACATTAATGTACCGAGCACAAACCCTTGTTTAATCCCGCTGGTAATTGAACGCAGAGAAGAGCAATAGTCGCGTAAGGTAACTATTTTAGCTGGACCGTTCATGTACGATGATAGCCAACCCATTAATGTGTTGCGAACTTCAAAGAAATCTATTTGAATCGGTAACCGTTTATGAGACACCCGATCGAATGTTTTCTGCATGTCCAAGCATAGAATTAATCTTTCATATTTTGCGTCAATGGAGTCTGGTATTTAGTTCAGGTAATGCAGCTACCAGAATGTGGATGATCGTTAGTCAAGGAAACCACTTTATGATCTGTTTCTCAGCTCCAGTGTGTTGATGAAATCACTCACACTTTTTACCAATTTCACGAATAATCCGGCTATTATAGAAGTGTTTTAGCTTTGCCTGTTGTTGTCAATCTCCTGTTTTGCGCATCCCTTGTGGCGAAGGCCGATGAATGAAGTTTTCCGTTGATACGCAAATTACTTGGATCCTAATGAAACGGCAAACATATACAAAATGAGCAGTGACATATCAGGCCCTCCCAGTTTCATGGCGGATGGGGGATGTCATCAGCTCCCAGAATTGAGCACGGTTGAATAGAATGTGTTGTTTAGAAAATATTGCGGAAAGCAATAGCACTTTAGATGGAGCCTTAGTGTAATTATAGCGTTGGTGTCAAGGATCATGTAGGTGGAGCAGAACGAGCTAAATGCGTCTGGATGTCGTCCACCAGTTCAGTGATCAATAAAAAGCGTTTGTTGGTTCTTCGACGGAGAACTCTGAACAGCTCTTTTACTTTACATGTCATTCGTAGGGTTGCTTGATCTTCATGTGTTCTCCCCATCAATTGTAAGTGCTTGATTTTAAAAATGAGTCAGTGCGTCTGTGGAATCACTGCAAAATATGCTATCCTTTTTGGCGCGCAATCGGTTTGCTGGATTTCCGACCCATCGAGCATAATATACTATAAAATTTCAACCGCATTATCTACCGGTACAACTTCATAATGTGAACCACACTAGCGCATTCCACCACCTTGTCTCGTAATGTCACTGTATCCGTTTACATCAAGTGTGAAAATGAAGACATTGGAAATGTGCTCCGACATGCCTGCTGATTCTATACCCCACGTACCTGCTCATTTTCTTTGCATTTCGGATGAGCTGAAGCAAAGAAGAATAAAAGTCATTTCTTACGCTCACATGGCTAGCACAACAGTTGTCCCTTGCTCCTTCAGTTCATGGACGTTGTGACTGCGACGGAATTTTTAAAAGTCGTGACTTATTGCTAAAAGTGCTACCGTCCAAGCACTGCGCGTCGTGATATACTAAAGTCACGTACAAAGGAAAGTCTGGCCGGTGATTCATACCAGTCCGGAAGTCACAAGCGACTCACAAAATGCAAGTGGAACCACTTTATTAGATCTAGTGACTTGACTGCTAGCCTCAAGGCTTCGTCAATCGCATCACTCGACAATGCGACACATCACAAAACTGCCGTATTGCTGAATGCCATATCATCGCCGAAGCCAGCACGGCAGGGTCAACAAATTGTGGCAGCGCACGAAGTTCATTCGAATAATTCCGGTAAATATGGAAACCAATTAAATGCTTTTCTCTTATCGACGTCTCCGCAGCTTGTTGTGCATAATTTACAGCGGAATCCGTCCACGCTAACCCTGCCATGGACAATTATTGCTGGTAGCCCAGCAGGCAGCCGTTTTTGCACGCAGTGACATACATTGCTGCTGACGTGCAACCTACGCCGATACATGTTGTCATCAGAAAACAGCGAGATCCTGAAACCTTGTTGGACCATAACATTGGCTCCACAACGTATGCTTACAATGCACTTACAGTGCCTGCAACAGCACAATACGCAACCAGCGCCTATAATAAAGCGCAAGTGTTTGTCATGTCTAGGATGGATTTAAACAGCAACTTCTTAGCTTCGTGCCAAACCACTTGCTCTGCAGCGTATTACCTATGTTATCGATTGACGGAGGCGATATCTGAATCTCCTGTCATTTTGGTCTCCTTTGAATGGCATCGTCA